TTGTTCCTCCTTAATTGTAGCCATTGTCAGTTTCTCTGAACATAGTACTGTGTTTGTTACACGTCAGACCATTAAGTAGATGGCCGTAGAATTTTAATCGCATCTGTTTCGGAGATCCATAATGTGTATAATGTGCATGTGCTTGAACTACGCATAACAAATAAGCTACTATTTTAGTTTAAGCTATTTAAAAACGAAGCAGTGGCTTATTCATTGTGCACGGATAGGGTAGGGTGGCTTTTACTAGTGCAGAAAAACTTTAGGATAGCAGCCATGCTTCTCCAATCTCTATCACTTCTTTGAGTTATGGTTTCCTTGAGCTAATAAAGCTTATGAAAGGCTATCCCCACGTAATGAAAAATGAACCATACTTAGTTGTGACACTATTGTCACAGAAGTTCGTGGGGTTTTTTTTTGCAAAGAGTTATTTTTGTTTTTTTGGTCATTTATGTTTGAATATTTTCCTGAACAAAAGGTGAAGATTTGTAAGCATTTCTACAGCCCAATTAAAGCCTGGAAAATATCATGACATCTGCCTATAAAAGTATAGCTAGGGGGCCTTTCTGCCAGTCTAGGAGATGAAAGTCTCCATTGGTGAAATAGAGGAATTGCTGTTCAATCTTATCTAGCTCCGTTCTGAGCTCCTATAGAACCAAGGAGTCACCCATAATGGTCTAAAGTACAAGAGCAACTTCAGTATTTCTGAATATTCCTTTTTCTTGGGCAGCCTGTATTCTTCGTGCATTGAATTCTCAGTCATCATTTCCACATTTTAATACAAATCTGGTTCATATTTTATATTTTCCCAGAACTACACAGCTGGTTTTTTTTTCCCTCAGACATACATTTTTGTTGTTCTTTAATAATGCTTTGGAGAATATCCAGTAGTGCTTTTTGTCAAATCAAAATATTGTGAAGTTTGATTTTCTAATCCATCAGTGATGTTTTGACATAGTAATAAAATTCATAGTCAAAAGAGTGAGAGTTCTTTTCATATTGAGCGAAAGACTAACACTGAAACTCTATACATGTTTTCAAAATATGGTACATATATTTTAAAAATAAGTACTACTGAATTTTTCCTTGTTAATGTGTATATCATTGCAATCTAAATGGAACGCTTGTTCTTGTGAAATTATGAAATGTTAGTTTAGGGACCCAAATGCATTTATTTAATCTAGAGTGTACTGTAAATTGGTAAAAGAATTTAATTTTTTTTAAAGTAGACATCCAAGGAAATAACTAAAGCCACAAATGAATACTGTTATGTGCAAGCTTTTCTTCCAAATTTAATCAGTCTACCAAATGAAATCTATTATGAAATAGCTTTTGTTGCAAATTAGCAAAATGTTTAATAACTGATACTCTGTAGTTTCCAGTTTATTTCTTCATATAAAGGTTAATTAGCTTTGACTCTGGGAATGGAATACTTGTAACCAGTTATTAATTTTTCAAGATTCATTAGGCAATTTATTTTAATTACTCTCACCGTCACGACACAGAAATAACCATCTATTTAAGTAATATTGTATGATGAATTCTAATACTTTCTTGTGACTGGTAGATGTAGATATGAACCTGATTATTTCCTTGGACTATGTACTGGGTTTCTTTTTCTCCCCACTTTTCAAAGTAATTTTCCATAGGTTCTTTGAGTCCCTGACACCATAGTTAATCTTTGCATCATCACTTATGGTTACCCTAGAGCAGGGGTGTCAAACGCAAGGCCCACGGGCTGAATGCGGCCCACAGGGTGCTTAGATCTGGCCTGCGGGGCCTCCCTGGAAACAATGAAGGACTGGCCTGCAGTGTCTCTGCCAGCGAAAATGAAGCTCGGAAGGGCTGCATGTGGCCCTCCCAAGCTCCATTTTCTCTTGCAGAGTGCTCAGGCCACTAGAGGCACCACCGACATGAGTGATGACGAGCTGGCCATGCCCACCCCAGCCTCCCAAGGTCAAACACAACCCTGATGCAGCCCTCAATGAAATCAAGTTTGACCCCTGCCCTAGAAATTTTAAAAGGATGTGTCTCTGCCGACCTTGCTCTCCTACCTAACTTCCATCACTGACTTTAATTGCTATTTTTCTTGCCAAATCCTTTGCTAAGCAGAGTTCTAAAGATGCTGGGGATTTGAGTGGGTTCTCTTGAGAGCTCAATACAAGAAGATATAAGAGATTGATGCAAACAGGTGCCAGGGCTGCATCCAGCATGTTTGACGCCATCTCAGAAAACACATAATTGAAACCTGATCATTAACTGCCGGTATCAGTTTAAGGGTCTATGGCACCACGAAACCACATGGAATGATGGCACCATCACCCGCCAATACAATTATTTGCATTTTTATAATGCTTTGGAAAGAGGGACAGTGTTGGCACCTCATAAGCTCTGTGCATCCTGGGCCAGTGCCTGCTTGGCCTTAACCTAAAGTTGGCTGTGGACGCTGCAAATGTATTTCAAGGAAAATCAGGATTTGGGGGAACAGACAGTTGAGCCAGATTTCTAGAGATCTTCTGCAAGTAACCGTAACAGCTTAGCTAATGTTCTAATATAGTCAACTTCTTTTTATAAAGTCTAACCATGCATGCTGCTATATGTGTGCATGTGGGATGGCAAAACTACAATCCTTTACTCCGATTATCACCATTCAGGAAAGATTAAGGGCATCAAGATTGTGGATGCCAAAAACCCAGAATCAAATTCCCACTCAATTAGTGAACCCAAAGTCCTAAACTCACAATTAAAAGACTTTCAGCTTATGACTGAGGGACTGAGATCCATCCCACGACGTTTTATTCTGAATGATAGCTGCCCCTCAGATCCTCACACAGAAAGTTTTCCAAGATCCTCATCTGAGGGCCTTAATTTAAAAAGCAGCAAATAAAGTTTAAAAAGTCAGAGTTAATAAAGGAGGAAGAGGAGGACACTAACCAATAACTTCTTTGTTGTGGAAGTGAAGCTTCACTCAGACTCCTTGTTTTCTGTTGTTCCTGTTTAAATCCTTCGGTTTCTATATTCCAATTATAGGAGCCACAGGTTAAATCATATTTGTCTCCCTATACTAAGAATTCAGATTCATCTTTTTTTTCCCCTATTGTCAGTCATTGTATAGATAGCAGAGGCCATGAACCTATGTTCTTCCTCTTTTTTTTTTTTACTGATTTAATGAGCCCCATTACAGGAACTTTTTCACTTCCTTCTCCATTCCATTGTCTGGGAATCTTTCTTCAGGCAGGGTTCTTGTCTCAAAACTCCAGAGAAATCAGTGCATGTCCTTCCTAAGCTTGCCATTCTTTAGCCCAGAGGTCTCCAAACTTGGCAACTTTAAGACTTGTGGACTTCAACTCCCAGAATTCCTCAGCCAGCTTTGAAAATCCACAAGTCTTAAAGTTGCCAAGTTTGAGGACCCCTGCTTTAGCCAAACACTTCTTAGCAGTTCTTCCTTAATGAGTTCAGTCATTTTGCTTGTTTTTTTTTTTTCTGGGTGCAGGCACATTCGTGGATGATCTTTCAGTTTTCTATTAGTGCTGTTCCAGGCTAGGCAGAAATGGATATGGAGATTGCTTGCTGTGTTAGATTAGTTGTTACAGATTATTAAGGAAAAGGCCCGGGGCATAACTGCCATTCAGCTGGAAGGACAAGGAGCCATTATGACCAGGTGGTCAGAATTCCCTTCTGTGATTTAACTCTGGGTTTTTTATTATTATTATTATTATTACTGAATGTACCCGATCTTTCTCTTTACAAACATTTAATGCTTCTGGCAGCAATGGAAAAAAAAAACTATATCTGCTATTGCTCTGTAATTGTCTCTGCTTAATGGAATCTTTGTACTTGACTTCTTTTCAAGAGGACATCATCTGGTAGAGATCTGGTGTGATGCCACTGTGCATGCAACACCCTACCAGTTCCCCCTGCTGGAAATGATAAATGAGATCTATTATTTCATTCAGGAAAACTCTAATTGGAGAAACAAAATAACCTCTAAAGTAGATGAAAGGACAGTTACCTTCTGTGGGCTGTTCAAGAGATGTGGAGGATATCTGTAGAACCCGAGTCTGATATCGAATTGTGCACGCAGTAGAAATCATATGAAGTAGCTTAGCTGGGATAAAGAAAGGAAAATCATGCAATAGCAAAGGATGAAAAGGGGCCAGATTAAGTCAAAGAAAACCATTCAAAGAAAGGTTGAGAAAGAACATAAGCATTGAAGGGCAACTAAATGTTTGGGCAGCGTAGGAAAATCGGGTGGATCCACAAAGAAAAGGAAATATGAACCAGATTGAGAATGTACAAAACTCAGATCTCCCTTGTATAGTCTGATCAAGCCAGTAAGGCAGAGAGTGGAATTTAACCAGGAAGGATTTGTTACTAAAATATTATCAAAGCTGTATCAGATGAACTTCATGCATATCACTCTCCTTACGAAAGTATGCACAGGTATCCAGTGGCATACTTTTAAAATTCAGGTACTAGGAAATTGCCTCCCGCCTCAGCTTCCCAATGTATATGCTCCATATTCCTACCTAGTGAATAAATATACACGATCATCGCATTGTTGTTCTCAATCCAATCAATAAGATGAATGTTTCACTGAAGCTGCCACCTGAGAGAAGGGGGGAAAGAACGGTAAAGATAATATTGGGACATGCTGGGCGGACCTACTGTGGGACAGAAATAATGATCAGACTTGATTGTGCTGTACTGTGTAAGTGACAGCAATGCTGTTGATTCACTTTAACACTGACTTGGTCTTGTAATGACACTAAAAACAAGTGAATGGACATGATTTAAAACAGTGGGATTTTAGTCCTCTAGCTAGCGATAGCTGTATTGTTTTAGCAGTGGATGTTTGAAGAGATTAACCAAGTTTTTCCACTTATAGTAAAATGAAAGAAGGATTAGCTTATTCAGACTTAATGTAAAATACCCTTTGTGCTTGATATATGCCAAATGTTCTCTGCAGTTATTCTCAATTCAGTTTCTGCATTTCTCCACAGGAGTTCAGACATGCACTGGAGAATGACTCAGAATCAAAAGCCCGTCCATCTGTTGAGCGGCAAATCGTACAATTGAGCCACAGGATGGTGATGCAGTTGCCTTGGCAACACGAGGGAAAAATGCTGAAGATGCTGTCACTAAGTGTGGCTCTTCTAGCAGTTCTTATTGCCTTTTACTATGGAGACATTTAAATAGAAAACTGTGCTGGATGCTTATTCCATCAACAGATAACAGCTTGCCTGTTGTGAACTTCAGAATCTAATGTTTGATAATCAGAATCTGTATAAAGCTTTCCTGAACTGCTAGAAATTCTTTGTTTTCTTTTTTCTTTTTAATCAAAATTTCAGCATCTAAATTTTTCATAAAATAGCTTCATTTTCATAAGCACAGTGAGGTTTTTAGAAAGTTACAACTATATTTCTTAAATAACAGCTAATTCCTTGTTATTGTGTTCACCTGAACCCTTATTAAAAATGATCGTTAAAGCACCTTGAGTCACTCTTTGTTCAGTAATGAAAATATTTAGCTCAAAATTGTCAGGCCGCTAAACTTATACATATCTTTATAATCATAGGACACCCATGATCCAAACCAACAACAAAACTATTGTCTGACAGGTATTTAAATACACAGAGAGACAAAGTAGATGAGTCCATATTTAAAGACTTTAAAGTTTTGCTTTTCACACTGAGTGTTCTTCACCTTCCATGATCCATGCATTGTCGAGTCATATTTCCTTAAGCAAAAATGTAATAAATTCATTTCCTCTAGTTTATACAAATTCCCAGGCAATCAAACTTTCTGGATTGTTGCAGTGGAAGGCTTCCTTGCCATAAGATAATTTCTCTCTTCCTTCTTTAGTCACAGAGGAACAATGTTGTAATCTTTTATGGTCCAACACATTTGAAAAGTTTCAAAGCTTCAGAGGATGTAGTGCAGCTCATTGTATCAACAAAATATCTCAAACCTCTCTCCATTTTGGTAGCCCACTTCAGATATTCTAAAGTTGTAAGCCAATTAAATGAAAGGCCCAGTTTTTGCAAGGAAGTCCTGAGTTCTGTATCGAGCAGACTTGATGGTCCCAGGAGTTTTATAGGAATTGGGCCTTTGAGGAAGCCAACAACCATAGAGTGTTTTCAGGACAGGAGCCAGAGCATCTGCTTTTACTTACCTGCTGGGATTATTTTGTGGTCGCAAGGCCCTTCAGAACACTTGGCAGTGAGTCAGAGCAGACAAGTGGGGAGGATGAAAATTTTAAACTATTCTCTCTAGGAAATTCAACTAGCGTGAGATCATTCCTAGACTAAACTTGAGAAGAGGTTCACTAAGAGACGTTAACGAGGAGCTAGTAATTCTAACTCGGTTTATTTAGTCTAGTCTTTTGTTTTTGTGAGATTATGTATCAATACTGAATTATATAAAATTACAGAAAATATTTAAAAAATATCCTCCATGACCTTAAAAGAGGCCTGTAGAAAGAATAAAAGTGCCAAATTAATTTGCCCTTCAAATGTAAATAATAAAATCTTATTATTCTGCTTTAAAATTACCTAATCCATTTTTATTTATATTTTATGTATACAGTTAAGGACATTTAAAGTCATACTTTAAAGTTAATTCAGATTGAGTATCAGTGGTGGAATTCAATTTTTTTTACTACCGGTTCTGTGGACGTGGCTTGGTGGGCGTGGCAGGGGAAGGCTACTGTAAAGCTTCCAGTCAGAGGTGGTATTTGCCTGTTCTCTGAGCTACTCAAAGTTTCCGCTACCGGTTCTCCAGAACTGGTCAGAACCTGCTGAATATCATCTCTATTGAGTATTGTTTATAACAACTTGTGAGTGGTGTACTTTCTGAATCAGCCACCTCTGTCACATTTGGGATGTAGATTTTAGGACATCTGACCGTTCCTGTTCGTTTCAGTCCCAGTCCCAACTCCTAGATGGAAAGCTGAAGTTATATTTGAATTACAGCAAGTAATATTTAAAGTGGCAGCAGCTGACAATTCTGATATTGAGCTTAGATGGAGCCATTACCCAGAATTCCTCTGTCCTGTTTGAGAAGCAATTACAATTTCACAGGTTGGAATTAAAATTCCCTGCAGTATGCAATAGAGTAACAAACTGTCAAAGTGATTTCAAGCTGCTAATCTCTCACTGTGGTATGAGTGAAAATAGAATTTCTCATATCCCATGTATAGGGCTGGCAACTTCAAAAGCTACAAATCAGAATACATGTGGAAAAGCAGCATGGTCTGCCCACACACATGATGTTCCTCGTATGGGGTGCTCTATTTTTTTTAAAAAAAAATATTAGCTTGATTTTTATAACAAAGAGCGTTATGTGTGTCAATTCAAGATTCCACCAAGGCCAACGGGCCACCCCTTACATTGGCGAATGCTGGCTAAGATAACATAATTCTCATATGTACCCAGTTAATACAACAGATTCTAGTAGCTCAAATTAAAATGGACGTGTAGGGAAAGAGAGCTGCACAAAACAAGTTTTAAGAGTTGTAATAGTTATAAATACTATATTTGATAATGTAAAACACATATATACATGTATTTCTCTTGGAATGTGCATCTTTGATTTGTTTGTTTATATTTAATTTATATGGCCTCCCAACAGTGATTCTGAGTGGCATACAAGGATTAAAACACATAATCAGACCAAGTATACCCCTAGGATATTTTTCAGAAGAATATATGTCGTTGCTAGACAGAGGAAGCTTAGGTAGAAAACATGAGTTGCCCTAAGATATACAGCATGTCTATAAAGGCAGTGATCGTGCATTAACATATATGCAATTTACAGTGAAGAAGAAGGCAGCTTGTCCATCAAAGAATCTAAAAATTGACACAAGGTGGTAAAATAGAGGTTCTAGCCCCAAACTGAGCATAGGAAAAGGAAGAAAATCTCTTTGTTTCATATGAGATTTCCACAGTAGTGGATAAACCATCCCATAATGCTTTTTGGAAGGCAGCCATATTATTGCAAGATCACCAGTAGGTTTTGCTATAATTCTTCAGTCATATATCCTGGACTAGAAAGCTGCTTTGTAATCACTGCTGTTTCACTAATACTCATTACTGATGAATATTAACATTTCATAAATATTAAAGTCCGGTGGCAGATCTTAAAATGCATCCAAACGCATGTGAAGTGCCGTTTTAACAAATAAACTGGCCTGTTCAGGTACGATATCAAAACAAGATTTCTTTTAGCAATCCATTTTCAAAATACTTACATCTAGCTTTTAATTATTTGCCTAACCTTTCATCTTTAAAAAAAAATATCTTTGTGTTTGTGGGCTTACAAAACAAAAAGCACAGAAAGCGGTTGGTCTTTGCTGCATTCTTCAATCAGCAACATCTGGGTCAAAGGCTGATTGTTGAGCTGGATGAACCAGGAAGTTATATAAAGCTTGCTGCTATAGAGCACTAAAATATTTTAGAAAGAATGTTGCTTCTCTCATAGCTGATCACAAAATCCATAGTACATGGAGAGGCTGGAACAGAAGGCTGTGCAGCAGGGGTGGGATCCAACAGGGTTAATTACCAGTTCGGTCATTAAAGGTTTGGTGATTTACGATGTGCTTCCCTGCACTCTGCTGGTGCACCTGTAAATCGTCATCAGCATGCTGCGTGCAGAGAAGCAGCCTTTCAAAAAGCCCTTTTTTCCTGCTTTTTTAACTGCAGCTGTGCCTCACACGGCAGCTGATGTTGAAAAAAATCAGGAAATAAAAGTCAGGTAAGAGCCCCGGAAGGCAGGTGAGCAAAAACATCAGCAGACATAGAACCGGTTCTATGTCTGCTGCTCTTCAGAGCTACCGGTTCTGCAGAGGTGGACAGAACCAGTAGAAACCCACCCCTGTTGTGCAGTCTTTCTTCTGATGCAGTCAGTGGCATGGCTGCAGATAAACATTAGGTCTTGGACAAGGGAAGCAAACCAACCGTTGATTTGGGTAGACTCCTGTTCCTTTCCTCTGTTTCAGTCATGGGGATCCCACCTCAAGCCCAGTGAAAATGAACATGCTGAAATGGAGACAACAGCAAAAATGTGGAGTTGTTTGGCACAAAGCGGCACCAGTTTTCTTACTTTTGTTTTAAAGGAATTGCTGCTGACAACCAGATTCTGTACAAGTCTTGGAAATAAGCAGGGGACTAGTAGTGGTAAATGTACAACAACTACTATATTAATCCTATATTAATACAAATACACCTAAGCACATCCTGTACTAAGAGGTTGCAATGTATTTGCTTTTTTTCACTTCCTGCATGTGAAAAAAAATGGCAATAAAGAAAGTTAACTGCTTATATTGTGACATTCCATCTCTTTCCATTGTATTCATACAGGCTCTTGAGCTTTTCAGAACTGAAATATTACACCTTGCAAAATTTATTTGCTAGAAAAAATGAAAGAAAAACATTTCCTTTCTTGAAATAATATGTAGAACATCGTTTCCCATCGTTTCCCCTGCTTCACATACAGCAGCTGATCACATTCTCAAGCACATCGCTAGAGTGTTCTGAGCAGATGACCATAAAATCTCTGGTATTATGTTGTCCAGCAAAACTACAAAAAGAAAGGAATATGAAGCTGTCCCCCTTTGATGAATCCCAGACTAAATAAAGGAGAAATTTCCCCACAGAACAATTGACCAAGTGGAACTGCTTGCCTTCACAAGTTGTGGGTGCTCCAACACTTGAGGTTTTTAAGAAAGGATTGGTCTGAAATCATTTGTCTGAAATTATATAGAGCCTCCTCCCTGGACCAGGAAGACCTCCAAGGTCTTTTCACACCCTGTTGTGTTCTGTTCAGAACTAGTTGCATTCTTCAAAATAAGTTAAACTGATTCTAGTCTTATAAAACTATTTTTGTCTGAAAGGTATACAAAATGTTCAAGTTACATAAACCAGTTTGCCCAAGAGGCTATGGTAGAATCAAATTCTAAAAACCAAATTGTCATATTAATTTCAAATGAATAGCGTAAATAAGACTTTCTGTTTTATTAGAAGCATTGAAAGTTTATTAAAGAACATGAAAAACAATACTTACAGTTGTTTGGGTAAAAAGAATTGGATTTTTTTTTAAAAAAATGTCTATGAAACATCATTTAATAGCCCTGGATATAAACCAGACCAAGGTGATTGAATTGGGATATTCCCTTAGCCTATAAAAACATCTTGAGTTATTTATTTGGAAAGAAAGAATATTAGTATACAAATAATTTCTGAAAAGAAATATTTGTTCCATCTGCTCAAGTCATCCCCACCCTAATTCTATCTCATACCAAGCATTTACATCCTCAGGGGTATAAAACTCATCATTTTTCATTGTGGAATTCCATTTTAAGTCTGAGAAAAAACTGCACTTAACAGAAATACACCTGAATGTACTCCTGTGAAATCCCTCACGCTAAGGAAATATAGTATAAGTACGCAAGCAGAGAAGCAGGGAAACATAACACAAAAAAACCATTTACTGAACATGTTTTTATTAAATATTTTTTCATCAGAGGTGCCTTGAATGATCCAGCAACTCACATAATGTCCATTGCAATCATTTTCTGCTTTACAGTTTTGTGTACCATCAGAACTGCTTTTTCGTCATTGTCCTGGCCAGAAAAACACAAGGCCACACTTGAGAAATTGTCATAGATCAAAACAGTGAGGTGCTACATCAGTGGTGTTCAGACTTACTTTCATAATGCTGGACTTTTGCAAATATCACTTCCTGGTATGGCCTATATGGAGATAAATGTAGTTTGTAATTATTTGTTCTTTTTTTGTTAAAGTTCTTTGCTAGATACTTCAGCAGTGCAAGTCTATGTATTTGTGCAAAAAGTTTCTCCAGCTCTTGTTGTAAAGAGCTGAAAAGCTGAGTGTACACAACCGTTTTTAGAATCACTTTGTGTGATGGATGAGTTGGATTCTTGCATTTATATGGACAGTATATGAAGACCTCTTAATCATGGCATATGGTCACAGAAATCTATAGTTCATATCTGGATCGCTGCATGATATTTTTACCTCCCCTGATAAATATATTTGCATATGGTCCCATTCTCAAAGTTTGACAATCCCTTTTGACAATCCTGTGAAGGAGATTAGTTTAAGAAAGGGTGACTAAGATTCATCGGTCATCCTTAGGACTTGGGTGGGTTTCTCTTTGGTCCTAGTCCAGCATTCTAAGCTAGGGGTTCTCCAGCTTGGCACTTTTTGGAAATGTGGATTTTAACTTCTAGAATTCCCCAGTCAACATTCTGGGAATTGGTCCATGCATGTTAAAGCTGTCTAACTTGAGAAACCTCTAAACAGGGCATCATCCTGGCCAAGCCCAGCAGCCAAAGCTCAAAGCCACCGAGAAGCTCCCTTTTCCTCCCCTCTGCCATTCCCCCCACCCCAAAAGAATATCTGAGCAAGATTTAAAAGAAAAACATTCATTCAAGAAAAGTTGGGCAAGG